CATTTGTGCTATTAGGGTATGTTAGAGACATGTCTTGTATAAATAGAAAAAGAGATAATGGGATATGACATGTGATATTCTTTTGATAAGAACACTATTCAGAAGAAGTTTCTTCCTCTCTCTCTAACAAAGATACAAATATTGCATTTTCATTGACATTCTTACATATGTTATTTCACACTTTTCCATCAGATCCGGGGATATTTCGAACATTCTAGGATTTGTCTGTCACGCATCATTGTTAGAAGTAACAATCATCTAATTCATTTATTATTAGGTGATTCATTCCTTCTATTTACTTAAATGCCACTTATTGTTATTTATTGCTAGTTATTCCTTCATTATTGCTCATGCTTTGAGAATATTTAATGCGCAATTTCATTAACTTCTCGCTGAATCAACCCTATATTGTCCATATTTTCAACATCTACGTTGAGAAATATTATTATTAACTAAATTTAACCCTTTATAACGTTTAACCTAAAGTTATATATTTTTGGTCAAACAGTAAGTTTACCAGGTTTAGTACGTTAAGTAACGCTTGAAAGTCTCATCAAATATCAGAAGGTCCAGAATTGAGATTTTCTACTAATAGAGGTATCAATAGCATACTAAAACAAAAACCAAACAAAAAAAGAAAAAGAAGAAAAACACTGCTCGGTAGGTGAGGGGAAAAAAAAAACTCGGTCGGTGAACGCGTAAAAAAAAAGCGAAAGAGAGGGGGAGACGCGCGTGAGGACACGCACCGGACAGCTCTGGGTACCCTATAAATAGCGGATTGTCCGAAGACGAATTCGCTTATTCAAAATTGAATTCAGAGAGTGAATTGAAAATGGCTTTGCCTTTGAAATTGAAGGAGACGTTCTTCATATCACATGGTTCCCCTACGCTTTCCATAGATGAGTCTTTGCCCGCCAGGCACTTCTTAAAAGGCTTCAGAGAAAGATTTTTAAATCAAAAGCCGAATGCGATATTGATGATTTCTGCTCATTGGGAAACTTCTGAACCAACTGTTAATTCTATTCGTGGCCGCCATGATACCATTCATGACTTCTACGGCTTCCCTAAACCCATGTACCAGGTGCTTTAATTCTC